AAAACACCTCCTGATAATGATTGTTTACAAAGCGTATCTCAGGGGTTCTCTCTTTCCATTTTGTCGAAAAGGAGGCTGTAATTACTTCACGTAAGAGATCTTTGTTTAAATATAAGTCTTTAACTAAACCGCAAACCAAGTGTTGGCGAAATGTTGCTAGTTCAGAAACATGTTTCTCGTATGCGGAATAACGCTAATTAATTCAAATTAAGGTCCACAGAAATCGACAACTCCGCAAAAATAAAACTTTGGACTGTGAAGCACGTGGCTACAGGAACTAAGGCCGAGTGTTACATAAAGGAAACAGGAGCAAACAATTATTTAACTCTGATCTTTATTTTTATTTTGTAAATTATTGTTTAGGTTGATAAAGCTCATTTTAGGACAAAAAGAACGAAAGATAAACCTAGTTCGGTGATTAAAACCTCTGCTTGCTACAACACTACTGTATTTTACTGTTGATAAGTTTTCTTATGTTGCTGGATTTCTCCATGAAGTTTTCATCAGGTCGCTCCAAAGAAGACAAGAAATGGACATTTTTAGATATTTCAGAAGATTTCCGCGCATTCTGAAGTAAAAACAACCAAAAAAAAAGAGAGGAAAACCTTGATTGCACGTTTGTAAACAGACAGAGCTGAATAATGAAATGCTACGTAGAGGGTACGCGGTGAACAACGCGGGCTCAAGTGTTCTACGTCCAAAATTTAGCGAAATTAGAGGAAAATTAAGGGCTGACTTTTAAAACCAGGAACTCGACGAACTCTGTTTCCGTCGAAGGCATTTTCCTATTTCCAGAAGTTTTAAGGAGAAAATTAATTTTTTAACATTTTCAGGGGGTGTACCCAAGTTTTTGGAGGTTGTACGTTGTTCTGTTGAAGAAAAGCGGCAAGCAAAACGACGCCTCGAAGCAACAGAATAGGAAATCAACCATGCGAAGGACTCAAAATCCGTGTTTTTGCGGCAAAACCTAGTGCATGCGTATACGTTATTCAGCTCTTTCTTGTAAACACTGAGAGTGGGGAGTTGGGAGTTACTCCATCACGGGCTACGAGCGGGGCAAGAAAATGTGAAATGTTCAGCAGGCAACCGTGGACGATACTCCTACTCTTGTACGTTGGATCAGCGATGATCTGATCGGCCCAAAATAACGACTATGAAATATAAATATAGAGGTAAGACCGATTTAAAATTTACTTATCTACGTTGTATCGAGGAAGTGGTCAGGGTTTTCCTCGGCAGTGAAAACAATGTTAGGGTGATAGTGATCTATATTTACATATATATATATGTCCAGACGGTCATTATTTTCAACCCTGATTACGGCAAACAGCCGAAAACGTTTGGTTTAAACATTTTAATAATTTTTTTCTTAATCTTATAGCCTTGTATATATAATATGAAGTTTTCATTTTCTCTTTTTTTGTATTCTTGTGTTACACCGAATGACAGCACAAAGTATCTTTCTCCAAACTTGGAATGACTAAACTACGCTGCATTTTAAAACCATATGCCTGGTCCCGTGAACAATTATGGATTTCAAACTACTTTGTACCTTTTGCCGATTACTAAACGTAAACTTGGGAGGCGAAGAAATAGCGTTACATAAACCAGCAAATAAAAAAAACATGCATTGTGGTTTTTCAATTCAAACATATACCTAGTTCAAAACTTATTAGTTGATGTGGATTTGGAACTAACTAATTCGCACGTTTTGTAAAAATAATGCACTTTTTGTGCGGAAGTTACACGTACTTTTGAGAAGAGCAGAAGATAGCCTCTGAAATTTCCTCGTCCGTCTAGATGGATAGGAATTTCAAGCCAAAGAAGGTATTAACTGCACCTAAACTAAGCAATCTGATTTCTTTTAATGCTCAATTTTAATCCGGCATCGAATAAGCAAATCATCCAATAAACACCAAAATAATTTGTTGAATTTTTTTATTTAATTTATTTTTTTATACATTTAGAAAAGAGAACTAAGCTCTCTGAAAACGATTAACTATCACATTTATCTTCTCCACGGATTGATAACCAGTTAGAATGCACGTTTACATTGTTGTTCGCCCAATTTGAAAGTGTTTTCCCCGAGATTTGTAGAGAAATTATTGACATGTCCCTCTTCCCCCCCCCCAAAAAAAAATCTCAATGATGAATATCTAGTTTTTTTTCGCGATAATCTAACAACGATCAACGTCTGGCAATGGTCTCGTTCACTGATCATGACTCACAAATGAATTCGTCTAATTTCTCTTTTTCCGATCTGATAACTATTTTCCTGCGATCTGGAAACA